TTCTAATTTTACTGTTGATCCAGTTCTGCACATGACAAGGTGCTGCGTTTTCATTTTTGAGCTATAGGCTCCTCTGTGTGCGAGTGAACACACACGGTGTGTGTAGGCATAAATGCGAGTCTCACAGGAGATGCCACGCACTGCACACACTGAGTCTACAACCAAAGCATAGTCACTGTTGTCATCAACTGTGTGTGTGTGTGTGTGTGTGTGTGTGTGTGTGTGTGTGTGTGTGTGTGTGTGTGTGTGTATCTACAGTTTACATAATATGCCACTGAACTGTATCTTGGCTGTGATTATGTTGACATTTCACTCAGAAAACTCCGATTCTCATCATTACTGAGACATTAAAGTCTCTTCTATCAGCTGTTTGACACAGCTGTCAGACCGGCTCTGTTGTCCTACACACTGTATATCTGTACCACAGTGTCAACACAAGCTTGAAGTCTTCAGTTTGCAGCAGGAGAAACTCAAAATGTGGCTTTTATTTTTATTGAGATTATATTTAATCAAATTATTGGCAAGCAACTAATTTCATAAATTTCCCACCTGTTTTATTTGTCTCTAAATGGACCAACAGCTTTTTAGGTTTTCTAATGCATATCTTACAAAAAATTAAATATTTTTAAATTAGTTTGTGTTTTCTGGTTTGATGCAGCTTCTGTTCACTTAAACGCATCCATGTTTCTCTCACTTGCATCTTTTCTTTGCATCTTTGTCTTTCACACTTGATGTGAGGAAACGATGAAAAGAGGGAATACGAGGAGAGAGGAATCGAGAAAACACATTTTTAGAGACATGAGTCGTCCTTTCCTCTGATCCTTCATCTGAGGTGTCCAATCACAAACTGATTTCCCATAAAGCGACGCTGAAAGAGTTTCACAAAGGATGCTCGTATGTCTCCTCCCTCATGGCTCCTCAGAGTAGCAATCAGAGGTCTGGCATGTCCTTAAAGATGGCAGGCTGGAGTGCCCTCTGGCTCGAGCAAGGATTGAGGAACGGTTTAATAAGGGAATTGGGATTTATCCGGTGTCTCGTCATTAACGCTGACAGTCTCTCTGATGTGGATGTGTTCAGACTTCAGCACCTCGCCCTAAACCTGTGTGTGGGAACCTTGACGAGGTGGAAGAATGTGTCGGCACAGCCGTTACAGGGGGAACAGCACCCTAGGGCGTCAGTTGCTGACATTCTTGTGCTCAGCAGTGTCGTGCAGCTCCTTATTGTCAACTTACATGATTTTTCTCTCTCTCTCTCTCTCTCGTTCCAGTCATTTCAAGGCAGTCAAGGAAGAGCCTATCTCTTTAATTCAGTGTGAGTATGAGCTTCACACCTGCAATTGTGCTTGTTTGTTTTGACCATTGTGGGAACTTTTCTTTGTTGCTCTGTAATTTCCCTGTGATCTGTGGCCTGTGTACAAGTCAAGTGGTTTCAAAAGCATCTCATTTGTTGGACAGAGGTGTGTGTGTGTGTGTGTTTAACTGTCCTAAATTCACCCAGGTCCACTGCTTTGCTTTATCACTTGTTCACAATTGTTTCCCCACCCACCCACAGTCCGTTAATGTAGCATTTTACTGCTTCGTCTTTAAGTAAAAGACTTGGGGGCTTCTTCCACAGCTCTCCCTGATCTCTGTGACCTGTTGTCTCTGCAGGGTCAACGTCGGCTGCGGGCCAGCTGAGGAGCGGGTACTCCTCACAGGTTTACATGCTGTGGCTGATATCTACTGTGAAAACTGTAAAACCACCCTGGGATGGAAATATGTAAGTCAGTTGCTCCCAGATTTTCACCTGAGCCCATTTACTTTAATGTCTTAATGTTTCTTGAAGCACCACTTAACACCTGCTGCCATGTTGTTGCACAACCATGTGTGTACTTGGCATCCAAGGGGACAAATTCTTCTATTACAGGTCAAAAGAACAAGGTTGCTCTCATTAAAGCGTTGCGTGTTAAAGCCATGGTGACGGGGTTTTTGCTCAGGTTTGTATCTGGGCTCAGAGACTGAACACTCTGTGGTCTCCTAGCACACAAGATAATTACAGTGCTGAAAGGTTGGCTGCAGACTGGTACCTCTGAGAGTCTACAGTGATTAAATGTCAGGCCATTTTGAAGAGGCTTGTCCCAGTAATTACCTGAAAGACTATAGAAGGGTGTAAAATAACTGAGCCAAGTATGAGACGTATGGACTCACTTAAAGTCACTCCTTCAGTGACAAAAACAATTACAGATTCCCCGAAAAGCCCCGCAAGCAAAGCAGAGCAGAGCTGGTTTACAAGGCAAAGCAGTCTGAGCAAATAATCAACATCGACTGTCCTGAGGCTCAGCAGGACTGGGACATTAGCTGGGGATCATACAGCACATCTCAAGACTTGACACTTGAATGAGGCAATTTAGTTTTCATATACTTAAATCGCTAAAATCCTGCTTTTCTCAGATAATAATGAGGCCAGGGTTCGTATTTGTCCAAGAGCTTGGACTTCAATGAAGGATAAAATTAATACTCCTACTCACAAATATAAGAATAAAAATGATTTATCGACCTTCCTTTGACTTGAGCACCAGAATTCTGTGAAGTGGATCATCCAGTCACTGACTGCAGCACAGAAACAGGGCTGAGCCGAGCACACGGATTTGTATAATAGAAAACAAAACGTGGCATAGATTTGTTTTAAACTCACACATCATCTGCACTTGTGAGTGTAGTACTAAATTCTCATTTCTTTGATTACAAGATGATTAGTTAAAACATTTCAATGACGTTCAGTTGAATAAAAGACCAGTTCCTGTCATGTATTTTGTCATTGAGGATTTCTTCAAAATAGTGTTAAAATATCGTCTCATCTCGTTCTCATGAACCCACTGTCATGTTTGGTCTCGTGAGCTAAGTGTATTGTCACACCCCTAAACAGAACTTTACTTTTTGTTATGAAACCTCTTTGAATGCACAAAAATGGCAAGGAAGTGGAAAAATAACAAATGATCTGTACCAAAATGTGTAATGTAATGTTTTTTTTTGTTTTTTGTTTTTTTTTAAATACATTCTTTTTAAATTGGTATTGAAAACCGGATTGTTGAGGAACTGGTATTGAAGTCAAGGTATCAATACCAGTATGGAAAGTTTTGGAATGATGCCGAGCACTAGCTGCAGATGCAAAGCCAGAAAATGAACAAAACAAACGGTGATTTCTCTCTCATCTAAAAATGAAATACTAACAAATGAACTGTTTAGTAGGTACACCTGTACAACTATATGCACTTCAATGCAGCACTTCCGTGTTAACATCTGTGTCTATGAAGCTCAAAATGTTTGTTTTTGGTGAAATCGTCATAAATGTGTAAATTCTATGTTTATTATTGAGGTCATAGTTAAAGGCGGTGTTGTACTGGATTACATTATATTCAGAGGTGTTCCTAATATTCTGATTCCCTCATGTATAGAGACGTGTTCGATTACTGTCAGATTTCTATTGTGCTCAAGTATCGACATCAGTGTGAATGTGGCTGAAGTTTTTCTCTCGCTTGTTTTTACAGGAACACGCGTTTGAGAGCAGTCAAAAGTACAAGGAGGGAAAGTTCATCATCGAGCTGGCTCACATGATCAAGGACAACGGGTGGGAGTGACGCTCTGGCCGCATGTTTTGTTTTTCTGACCTTGGAATGCTCTTTACTGAACTGCGTGGAGCGATGACCATCGACCGCCCGGCGCCCCGCCCCAGCTATCCCTAACCTTTTGCAAACCTCCACCCCTCGCCTCTTTGACACGCACACAACCACCTGCTCATCGTGAAACTGAACAGAACAGCATTAAAAAAAGATGACGAGGAAACTGAGCAACTCTTGAAAAATCGCATCACAAGAGTCCTGTCGTTACTTTGAAGATTGTGTATTCTCCCTCGCAGCTGCAGAGCTTTTGGGTTTCACCTCCCCACCCACTCACTGTCACCACACCCCCACCAAACCACGCTTAGAAGTGACTGTGGTGATATGGCGACCACTATGCGAAAGGGGATAGACTTCACTGAAAGGACATTTGTTTTGTTTTTTTTGTTTTGATTTGGTCCATCCAGAGAGACGGACAACTTTGGTTATTTTAATGTTATTTGCTATAGTTTTAACTTGCTGGTTTGGTAAGATTTTGGTTTGACGGCAGATGAATGTTACTGGTTAGCATTTTATTTCTCTGTCACATGTTGTTTGTGTTTGGCTTGTTGCGTCTCTCCCTCCAGCTGAGCGTGCTTTTCTTTGCTAATGTCCAAACGAGCAGTCAGGGACGGGCGAAGAGCAGAGGGGAAAGGGAGTTACTGTAGTTACAAACATGTAGCAGATTTTTGATTTTTTTAAGTGACAAAGGATGGGAGTGCAGTAGTGTGGGATTTTACACCTGATGGTTTCAGTTTATAGCCCTCCCCCCTCTTGTGAATTTTCTTTATTCGCCCCCTTTTGGTACTTGTCAGCATCCAAAACGCATTGAAAGCAGCAAGTATTTGACATAAATGGATATACAGATTCATATATAAATATTTGTAGTGTTTGGCTAAATGCGATTGTGGCTGGTCCCACATTGCAGCAGTACCATAAGTCACCGAGGCATCACGAGGAGCAGAAATCATTTCTAGACTGGGGAATCTGACATCAGTGTCCACTTGTCATAAAACATTATGGCACTGTATTATTCCATTTTCTAGTAATGAAAAAAGACAACTGCGTATGAATTTATATAAGACTAGAATTACATATCCATAAAAACTATGAAAATGTTCATAGTACATAGATACTGGAACATGGATTCTATATACATATATATTTGCTGTCACACACATGTATATATGCATATGCCTGTGTGTATATATGCATTGTGTAGTCATGCACAGTGGCATACTTGAACGACGTTACTTTGTTGCACTTTGCAGAGGCCATTGGTTCATCTCAGTTTAGAGGCAAAAAGGTTTTCTCTGTTTATTGGCCGTTTTAATGAGGAATCCTTGGAGGTGGAAGAAGTTTGAGCTGAAGCGTTTGACCTCTGTTACAACTGTGTTTAGCAGCTGTCAGATTATTTGGTTTGATTTTATTAAAACTGTATTGACGACTCCCGCTTTTCCTCGGTTTTTGCTTGGTTTTGAGCCCCTTTTGAAGAAAAAGGTTTCCGATTCTTTGCTGCTATCCTAGAAATCCCGCCGTTTCTTCCCGCTCCTGTAGCCCATTTGCACTTTATTCTTATCCGTCTCTCTCACTTGGAGCACATGAATTGTCTCGGTGCTTTGCCTCTAAGCTGTATGAAACTTGTGCCTCTTCAAAACATGACCATCCCTCCACCTTTCTTTCTGTTGTGCAGTGCATAACTACAAAAACCTTCATGTAAACCGATGTCTTCCCCCCTTGTAGTTCAAAGTGGCCCTCAAAAATAACATTTTTCACCAAAATACTTTTTTTTTTTGGGACAACAGACTTAGTGTAGATGCTCACATACATTTTCTATGTATGGATATTCAGTATATGATTCCTTAGAGGACTAGGCTGAGGATGCCCAGGGCTTGTTGTTCGACTTTTTATTGGAAAGATAAAAATGATGGCAGCAGGTTGAGGCAGGGCAGGGTGGGATGGGAGAGTTTTAAAAATCAGCGGTGGTTGATTACTTTGCCGGCAAGGTCAGTCAGATCACACAACCTTTTATCCTAAAAACGATGACAATGCAAACCCTTCATAGCTAGCAGTGATACCTACTTGAACTAAACAGCTGAGATATTGGCCCATGTTACAGTTTTTGTACATAAAGTAACATTTAAGGTTTTATACATATTTCTACTGGGTTAGTTCTTTTACTTCCCCAACTTGAAGCACTTTTGTTGACTGTACCTCTGGTTGTGTGTGTTGGTGTGAGTGTGTGTGCATTCATGTGTTAGCAGACATGCCTGCACATGGAAGTGAATGTTTACTTTCTCCTCAAACAGGTTTTCATTTTTCCCTCTTTATAGTTTAAAAAGTGTTTTTATTTGTCCTGTTTCTTTTGTTTTTTGCAGCTGTTTGGTTTCACTGTCTGTCCCAGTGATCTGCGAGCTCAAGAGCCAGGTTAGTTTATTTGGAAGTGATTTATCCCTGCTTTGTTTGTTTTTTCTGTTCGCTTGTTTATTTGGTTTGAGTGGTGAGAGCCCGATAGAGGGCCACTGGTTAGGTCTCTGCTGAGCCATGTAGATGTTGAGGGCGAGCTGGAATCTCCCACCATGTTGCAGGGAGAGCCCCTACACCAAGACTCTTTAGCCACCACAGTCGGCGTCTCCTGTATAGATGGCCTTCAGGTGATGAAATGCACCCGCTCTGGTGGCCATATTGGAGGTCCTTAGCTTTTGACTGCACTGGCTTGAATATCTGATTGTATTCCTTAACTGAATCATTTTTATGCTGGTCTTGACAGAAAATTATTTGACGTCTAAGGTGTATTTAATTTGATGTATAAAAACGATAAATCAGTCCAGATCATGTTAGATTGTTAGCTGCCTGGCCTTGAGGCTGCACACTTTGAAGTTTGCATTCAGAAGGCAGGTCACACAAGGCCCATTTTGCAGCCTTCTTTTGCTTGAATTTCCAGCACTCAGTAGCTGCGCCTCAGTTCAGAGGCGGCAGCCTATGAAGGTGTGTCCTTCCGCAGCTGTTGTAGACCACAAAGGCCAAACCATGCGCCATAATGAGACCATCTGGTCTACAGAGAATTTCCTATTTACATTAACAACTGTTCCTGCCACTACTGTTATGTTGCACCACACAAACAAAACATTGTTATTCTGTAATGGTGCATTCAGCTGATCTGTGTCAGTTAACAGCAAAGTCAAGAATACTACTTCGTTGATACTTGTGTTAGCAGTGCTGGTAAACTGGATACATTTCATGAACTCCGTTAACATGGAACTCTGTATTTGCCACTTTGTCGGCTGATTCCTGGTGATAAACCTGAAACCACTGAGATTGAAAGTTCATTCTTGACCTTGAAACTGCAGATGACAAATGATCTCACCACAAGGTCCCTTTGGCAGATGTTTAGGAGAGTTTGATCATATCACATGATCTTCCTCAGCAAATAGACTTGCCCATTAGCGGAATAGTAGACGTTCAAACTTCCACTATCACCAAGCATTCATTTGAGTTGGCCTAGAAATCTTTAAGGTGCTCAGACGGAGCATCTGTAAACCTACAACAGCTCCACCAGCTTAGGGAGACCGTGCTAGAACCAAATGACTGTGGTGAGGTTATTTATGTCATCTGAAAGCTACTGACGTGAGAAGCTGATGAGGAGCACCTGAATGCACCATTAAGGGAGGATGTTGAGGCTCAGTGTTGCCTTCAGGTTCTCCATAGGCAACACTTTCAAGGGCTGCATCTCTGTCGTTGCAGCTCCTGCACTGGGATGACAATGTCAAAGGTCAGCTGTATAGTTCAACATAGTGAACATTTCCTAAGAGAACAGCATTTGCAGCTACATTAGAAACAAAGAGGAAAAAAAAGAAAGTACCTTACCAGCCAGTTTCTCCCAAGGACCTCAAAGATGGCGCCAGCAGTGGTTGCTGGGAGATTTGACCCAACTGCAGAGCCTCTATACTCTCCCTTCAATCAGTCTGTGTTGAACCAACAAAAGCAGTTGCCAGTGTCACCGCCGGTGTGTACCAAATAAGAACCAGGTTCTATTGAATGCATCAGTGTCAGTGGTCAGGAAGGGTGTCAGGAAGTTTGAGTGTCTCCTGGAGCTTCAACCGCTAAACCAAAATTAAAAGAGAAGCCGTCCTGTCACTGATGACATTGTCTTTCCATAGAATATTTTGATTCTCTAAATTTAAGCAGCCTGGATGACACATGTAGATATTTGCTGCTGAAAACTGTTTACTTTTTATTGTTATTTTTTTGTGTTATTGTGACACTGGCTACCTACTTTTTGAGCTCTGTTACTGTCTAAAACTTACCTGAAAGGCCGTCAATCAAAGGCGAGATGCGTATGCAGGGGGAAAGACTGTACAAGTTCTTTTCTTAGGACTGTTAAATTTACAGTTTAAGGTTTAAAGCATGTTGTATTTATAATGGCTATATGTTGTGCCTGTTTTATTACTTTCCTAAATTTAAAAGCAAAAGTATGCTTTTTATTTGACTACATTGCTTTGCAGTCTGTCTTAGTAAAGCCATGTCACGTCTGTTTTCACTCTAATGTAAACTATCAGATATCACAATAAATTTTCAATGGCATTACTTTGTGGATTGTGTTAAGTTTTCATTTTTAGGGTATGACGGTTAGAATGTAAAGCTGCTATTACGTTTATTGTCATTATAGGTTCATCTTCCAAATGTTTTTAACTGTCTCTTCAGTTTGTCTATAAAATGTTTGAAAATAGTGGAACAATATCCGTTTTCCCCAGAGTTAAAAGTGGCCACTGCACATTGTTCGATCAACACTAATTAAATACAAATGATATTTAAGAGAGAGAGAGAGAAATGGCAACTCCTCACGAGGTCCGGGAGCAAAGAAACTGTCCCAAATTTGGATAAGAGTTAATATTTTTACATTATGGGAGCCGTAAACCATGTGGAAAGTCATGAGAACATTACATACAATGACAACACAAACATCAGCAGGTTACAATTTAAAAACAGGAACACAGCTGAAAAAAGGAACTTGTCTGCTGCGGTTGTGATAAGTGTGAGAAAGTGGACGAGTCTCAGACAGGAAGTGGAGAGTTTCAGGCTGACAGACTGCAGTTTAAAACCGAGCTGCAGATATTTACTTTTACACTGACCTAGAGTCAGCTGGAGTGTGCTTCTTTAAATGCAGCCAGACATCCTCTTCACTGAAGAGTTGACTGTTTTGGATTGATGCCAAAAATAATAGTACACTGCCAGTGATTGGCATCGATTAAATAGAATCAATCTTGGTACCAATAAAATACCTGAGGGGAGGGAAGATAGAGAAGAGGTGAAGAGGGACCTCTCCACAAAGTAACGGCAACACCAGGTTTCTGATGTCACTAAACGTCCAGAGTTGTTGATTTGCATGTAGCTGGAGGTTATTGCTGCCAAAGGTGGTTCAACCAGTTGTTAAAACTGTTGCCATTAGTTTTTCCACCATCACTCTGTGTTTAATGGGTGTGTTCGGTAAAGACATGAAAGATCATGACTGTGTTTTATCAGCTTAGAAATATTTGTGACTTTGGTGAAGATCAGATCACATTTCATAACCAATTTATACAGAAAACAAGTGAACTGAAAACTGTGCCATTACTTTCTCTGTAGGTACAGCAGAATAAAAAAAAGACTGATGGCTGCTTACAGGGCACAGTACTGAGAAATAAGACTGAACTTTAAAAAGCAGCAAATATAAAACATAAAATATAACTGCAACAAATATGTCAGAGCCTGGGAGAGTAAAACTCTCTGTAGTGCCTGACAGCACGGAGTGAGAATGACACATTATGCATTTTGGTGATTTGGGCACTGACCCTCACTGTAACTAAGCTCTGCTGCTGTTCTCATGACTGTCGCCTTTATGTTCCCATGGCTGCAAAGTTACTTTACAGCTCTGAACCTGAATGTCCTGTTCACTACGATGAAGCGTTTTCAATTGTAAATGCACCTGAGGCTCTGTGATCACCACTAAACTCAGAATGAAGCCATTTTACTGAAGAGTTATCAGACCTGAGCAGCACAGCTAATTAGACATGAATCATTTGCTCAGGCACAGACTGTGCATTCATTGCACTTTATGGAGTGGAGTTGCTATGGCATTACATACTGAGACAATTCTTCACGGTACAGCACTGTCTGTCTCCGAGCTTGTGATGCTGATGCCCACACAGCCTCATGTTATGATGTCCTTGTGGTGGCTGGCTAGTCTTCAAGCACAAATCAGTCTGTCAGCCTCTGATTTATCTCTCACTCCCTGTCATGTTCTTAAAGCTGCAGTGTGCAGCATGTTCTCATGAATATGATAAACAGCATATTTTATTGTCTATCATTTTGTCCTCTCAGATGTGACACTGCTTGTCTGTGCTGGACATATACACATACCGGCCACTTTATTAGGTACACCTGTACAACACAACACTTCTGCCTTAACGTCTGTTTATGAAGCTCAAAATGTTTCAGTTTTTGGCAAAATTGTCAAAAATTAAGTTATATGTGTATTACTTAATTAAAGGTGGTGGTGTACATTATAATCAGAGGGGTTCCTGATATTCTGACCCTCTGGGGAGGACAGAAATATAGAGACACCTCTCAAACTATTTCATGCAAGTTGCAAGCAAGTTGGGATTCAGGAGACCTGGACATGTGGGCAGGAGGAGCTGGGACTCAAATCAGCCACCCTTCACTTAGTGGAGTTAAGCTTTAGACTGAAGCAATGTGGTAACAGGGTGGACTAGTGACTATGGCGTAATCATTGCCAATATCAAGTAACTGGGTCACAAAATCATTTTTTTTCAGACTTTTTGCATATACAACACATTAATTTACTTCTTTGACAAACATTAAACATCTGTCACTGGAAAATCAGATGCTGGTTCGTTTCTCATACTGAATTAAGGAGTTTTGCTTTTAGTTGCAAACTAAGACTCTTCAGACTCTTTTATTAATGACTGAGGCTGCACTTTTATTAATGGGAGCGGAGTCACCAGGACGGAGGTGGGTGGGGTGGATGGCAGGTGCACAAAGCACACGGCTGGCTCCGGGGTTTGCATCCACAGCCCTGTTTTATGGTATGGGAATGATTTTTAAATCTTTCAATTAAATATAACCAAAGATGCTGCGTTGACATATTCAAATGTGTTTTTTCTTGACGTATGTCTCTCTTTTGGTGGACTTCTGATCGGAACTAGTGAGCTTTCATTGTTTCGGTGGATTCTGTGGAGGGTTTTTACACATGCAGCTCCAAAAAAAATTTACTTGCAGCTAAAAACAGGCTTCAGGTTGTGGCTATGTGCATAAAGCACCAGTGATATATTAGCCCCCACACAGGCCCTGCAGACAGCTGGATTTATTAATATAGCAGCTTATCTGTCATGTGACGCACATCTCGAAAATGCTCAAAAACACAGTCGTAGTTCTAACTGAAATTTGAACTGGACCAGCTTTATTCTGGCTGATACAGTCCTGTGATATGTGCCCGGATTGGTGCCGATACCGATACTTGGTATCGGATCAGGACATACTGTATATGAGACTTTCCAAATGTATAAATTAATCACATATCTTCATCACACTAACTACAGGTACAACTTTGCTTCCTACAAAATGAACACAGAGATTCAAGATGGCTACAAACAGATGTGTCTCTTTTTGTTTGTGTGTCTTGCTCCTTTGTTTGAGGGGTGGGGGCCTGTTATACATCTGTGCCCAGAGGCCCACTGGCTCATCATCTGTCTGTGACTTCTTCACTGAAATCTGTTTAGAGCACTTATTCCACATGCAGGTGCCATCTCCGAACTGATATTGCACGTTTAACAAAATATTCCTCTCTTGATTGATATTCATGCAGGTCACAGGTGACTGGATGCAGACGTGACAAACAGAGCATATTCCACTTTATGAATGTTTTTATCTGGACCTATTCATACTGCAGAGTGGCTGGCCTCGGCGCAAATCAAATCTAACCTTTAATTTGTAAACATCACAT